ACACAGAGAGACACACAGAGAGATACACAGAGAGATACACAGAGAGATACACAGAGGGAGACAGAGACACAGAGAGATACACAGAGAGATACACAGAGAGATACACAGAGAGATACACAGAGAGATACACAGAGAGATACACAGAGAGATACACAGAGGGAGACAGAGACACAGAGAGATACACAGAGAGATACACAGAGAGATACACAGAGAGATACACAGAGGACAGAGGGAGACAGAGACAGAGAGATACACAAAGAGATACACAGATAGATACACAGAGGACAGAGGGAGACAGAGACACAGAGAGACAGAAAGAGACACACAGAGAGATACACAGAGAGATACACAGAGGACAGAGGGAGACAGAGAGATACACAGAGAGATACACAGAGAGATACACAGAGAGATACACAGAGAGATACACAGAGGACAGAGGGAGACAGAGATATACACAGAGAGATACACAGAGAGATACACAGAGAGATACACAGAGGACAAAGGGAGACAGAGACACACAGAGATACACAGAGAGATACACAGAGAGATACACAGAGAGATACACAGAGAGATACACAGAGGACAGAGGGAGACAGAGACACAGAGAGATACACAGAGAGATACACAGAGGACAGAGGGAGACAGAGACACAGAGAGATACACAGAGAGATACACAGAGGACAGAGGGAGACATAGAGATACACAGAGAGATACACAGAGGGAGACAGAGACACAGAGAGATACACAGAGAGATACACAGAGAGATACACAGAGAGATACACAGAGGACAGAGGGAGACAGAGACACAGAGAGACAGAAAGAGATACACAGAGAGATACACAGAGAGATACACAGAGGACAGAGGGAGACAGATACACAGAGATACACAGAGAGATACACAGAGAGATACACAGAGGACAGAGGGAGACAGAGACACAGAGAGAGACAGAGAGAGATACACAGAGAGATACACAGAGAGATACACAGAGAGATACACAGAGAGATACACAGAGGGACAGAGGGAGACAGAGAGAGAGACAGAGAGACAAAGATAGAGACACAGAGAGATATACAGAGAGATACACAGAACATAGGGAGACAGAGACGCAGAGAGAGAGACAGAGAGAGATACACAGAGATACACAGAGGGACAGAGGGAGACAGAGAGAGACAGAGAGATAGAGACAGACAGACAGACAGAGAGAGATAGAGACAGAGAGATAGAGACATAAAGATAGAGACAGACCGACAGAGAGATAGAGACAGAGAGAGAGATAGAGACAGAGAGAGATAGAGACAGAGAGACAGAGAGATAGAGACAGAGACAGAGAGATAGAGACAGAGACAGAGAGATAGAGACAGAGACAGAGAGATAGAGACAGAGACAGAGAGATATATAGAGACAGAGAGAGATAGAGACAGAGAGATAGAGACAGAAAGATAGAGACAGACCGACAGAGAGATAGAGACAGAGAGAGAGAGATAGAGACAGAGAGACAGAGAGATAGGACAGAGACAGAGAGATAGAGACAGAGACAGAGAGATAGAGACAGAGACAGAGAGATAGATAGAGACAGAGATAGAGACAGAGAGATAGAGACAGAGAGATAGATAGAGACAGAGATAGATAGAGACAGAGAGATAGAGACAGAGAGATAGAGACAGAGAGAGATAGAGACAGAGAGACAGAGAGATAGAGACAGAGACAGAGAGATAGAGACAGAGACAGAGAGATAGAGACAGAGACAGAGAGATAGAGACAGAGACAGAGAGATAGAGACAGAGACAGAGAGATAGATAGAGACAGAGATAGAGACAGAGAGATAGAGACAGAGAGAGATAGAGACAGAGAGACAGAGAGATAGAGACAGAGACAGAGAGATAGAGACAGAGACAGAGAGATAGATAGAAACAGAGATAGATAGAGACAGAGAGATAGAGACAGAGAGACAGAGACAGAGAGATAGAGACAGAGAGATAGAGACAGAGAGATAGAGACAGAGAGATAGAGACAGAGAGAGATAGAGACAGAGATAGAGACAGAGAGATAGAGACAGAGAGATAGAGACAGAGAGATAGAGACAGAGAGATAGAGACAGAGAGATAGAGACAGAGAGATAGAGACAGAGAGATAGAGACAGAGAGATAGAGACAGAGAGAGATAGAGACAGAGAGAGACAGAGACAGAGAAATAGAGACAGAGAGATAGAGACAGAGAAATAGAGACCGAGAGAGACAGAGATGGAGACAGAGAGATAGAGACAGAGAGATAGAGACAGAGAGATAGAGACAGAGAGAGATAGAGACAGAGAGACAGCGACAGAGAAATAAAGACAGAGAGATAGAGACAGAGAGACAGAGACAGAGAAATAGAGACAGAGACAGAGAGATAGAGACAGAGAGATAGAGACAGAGAGAGACAGAGACAGAGAGATAGAGACAGAGAGAGACAGAGACAGAGAGATAGAGACAGAGAGACAGAGACAGAGAGATAGAGACAGAGAGTCTCGCAGGCTCGAGCTCAGGGAGGGTCCAGCCCCTACTTGTCGCAGCAGCAGGGGCAGCCCGAGACGAGCTGTTGCCAGCAGCTGGCTGGCAGCTAACCCCCTAACCTCTAAACCCCTAACCTCTAAACCCCTAACCTCTAAACCCCTAACCTCTAAACCCCTAACCTCTAAACCCCTAACCTCTAAACCCCTAACCTCTAAACCTCTAACCCCCTGACATCTAACCCCCTAACCTCTAACATCTAACCCCCTAACATCTAACCGCCCTGACATCTAACCCCCTAACCCCCAACCCCCCTAACCCCCTAACATCTAACCCCCTAACCTCTAACATCTAACCCCCTAACCTCTAACCCCAACCATGCAATCGGCGCCCCAAACCCCAAGGGCAGTTCTAAGCTGAGGTTTTTTTTTTTTGGTAAACTGGGAAATATTTAGCCCCGATTTTCCGTTCAACGATTTTTTTTGTTTCTTAAAACAGAGGCACAATTATTCGATCCGTCGGCCCGGCCGGCCCTCTGTCCAAACAATGCATGTTCAGAAATGTTGAGGTAGATAATGAAAATGCATATTCCCTCTGTACGCGCACGGGGAATTGAAATAATGACATCTGCGTTATCTCATTTGTATTTTCTTCTTCGAAATTAGCGCTCCCCCCCCCCCCCCCCACTTAAATTGGCGCCCTGGGCGAATGCCAAAGTTGGTCTCTATGGACCTCCCACCCCTGAGTAGCAGGGAGAGGGCTGGGGGGGTGGCGATGTTGGTGCTGCTGCTGTCTGTCTGTCCGATCCCAATTGAGTGCTTTGAGTGTACTGTAAGTGTTTGTTAGAATTGTCGCGATGTGGCCAGTATAAACATATACGAACAGAAAGTGTGAAACCTATTCTTATGTTTTGATGCTGGCAAGGGAAGATCGCATGGTGTAGCTGCTCACCCCGAGCTCTCAATGCCCTGATAGTGGCATTGTCCTTGTGCTGTTCGTCGTCTGGTCTAACACTGTCGGAGACTAGGCCCTAAAGAAAGCTGTCTCTGGTGTGGACCAATCAGTTCGAAAGACAATGCATCATATGCTATCAGAGCGTGTTTTTGTTTATTGCGTGTTCACCGCCAGTATATGGTGGCAAATGCAGACGTGATTCCTTGCTAAAGGTTTCTGTTTGGTGTTTTAACATCTTAACACAACTGTTGTATTATGGACAGAAAGGGTCAACGCTATTCTTATACAATGTGTACCAGTTGGAGCAATCTGTTTTTTTTTGCTATTGCAGGAAACCTGAGAAGCCGGGGGGGGGGGGGGGGGGGGGGGGGGAGGGGATAACGACCCACTCGTTCACACCGTGCGGAAACAAAGACAAAGATCCCCCGTGTGGCCTTAACACACTGTTGGGGCAAGTGGCTGTTAGCGAGTAGCACCTATGAAGGCCGGCACGGCAGGCGCACGAAAAGGGTGGGTGGCCAGCACCACGCCCGGCCGCCTTTGTCTCCCCAGTGGCGATGTTTACGCGCCGCACCGGGTACTCATTTGAGGATGAGTCGACCCTTGGGGAGGCCCAGGACCGGTTCAGATAAAATCGCCACTGGGTGTTGGCCGTGAGCGGGAATCGAACTCGGGTCGACAGGTTCGTAGCGCAGCGCGCTAGCTGCAACGCTACCGCTGACACACGCCCAGAACAGGGAGAGAACATTACGATTGCTTTTCATCGTTGAGATGTTTGGTCCATACCAGTTCCACTGGATTTGTTGGTTTAGCTATGGGAGGAAACCCCATGCAGAGCAGGGGTGGAGAACATGCAAACTACACACACAGAAAGCTGCCCGAGTGTGGAATCGAACTCAGCCTCCCGTGCTACCACCGCCACTGTAACAACGACGCCCGCGACGATTGCTGCTTACCGGCGGCAGAAGTTTTGTTGCACGCAACGCTGGCCGCTGAGGATCGCTGCTTCACCCTCTCGGCGTGGGGGTGCGCCGTGGAGAGGGGGCACGGGGAGGTCTGCTGAGCGCTGCTGATGGTGATGGTGATGATGGTGATGCTGCTGATGATGGTGATGCTGCTGATGATGGTGATGCTGTTGGTGATGCTGATAATGGTGCTGCTGATGATGGTGATGCTGCTGATGATGATGATGGTGCTGCTGATGATGGTGCTGCTGCTGATGATGGTGATGCTGCTGATGATGGTGCTGCTGCTGCTGATGGTGCTGCTGATGATGGTGCTGATGCTGCTGATGATGGTGCTGCTGCTGATGATGGTGCTGCTGCTGATGATGGTGATGCTGCTGATGATAGTGATCCTGATGATGGTGCTGCTGCTGATGATGATGGTGATGCTGCTGCTGATGATGGTGCTGCTGCTGATGATGGTGCTGCTGCTGATGATGGTGATGCTGATGATTGTGACTGTTTTTGATGATAGGTGCGCCGTGTCACCACTTGCCCCAAACGGAGTGCGAAGGCTATAACGGAGTGACGGGGGGGGCTTTGTCTTTGCAGTGTGCGTGGGGACGGAGAATCTCTTCAGCACCCTGGCCACGCCCGAGCTGCAGTTCCAGGCGCTGCGTAAGACTTACGAAAAGTGCGAGGTGGTCCTGGGGAATCTGGAGGTCACCAACATCGCTCGCCACCAGAACATCTCCTTCCTCAAGGTCCGGCCCCCTACCCACTCGCTCACTCACGCTCGCGTTCACTCCATCACACTCGCTCTCACTCCATCACACTCGCTCATTCACACACTCGCTCATTCACACACTCGCTCATTCACACACTCGCTCATTCACACACTCGCTCATTCACACACTCGCTCATTCACACACTCGCTCATTCACACACTCGCTCATTCACACACTCGCGCTCACTCCATCACACTCGCGCTCACTCCATCACACTCGCGCTCACTCCATCACACTCGCGCTCACTCCATCACACTCGCGCTCACTCCATCACACTCGCGCTCACTCCATCACACTCGCGCTCACTCCATCACACTCGCGCTCACTCCATCACACTCGCGCTCACTCCATCACACTCGCGCTCACTCCATCACACTCGCGCTCACTCCATCACACTCGCGCTCACTCCATCACACTCGCGCTCACTCCATCACACTCGCGCTCACTCCATCACACTCGCGCTCACTCCATCACACTCGCGCTCACTCCATCACACTCGCGCTCACTCCATCACACTCGCGCTCACTCCATCACACTCGCGCTCACTCCATCACACTCGCGCTCACTCCATCACACTCGCGCTCACTCCATCACACTCGCGCTCACTCCATCACACTCGCGCTCACTCCATCACACTCGCGCTCACTCCATCACACTCGCGCTCACTCCATCACACTCGCGCTCACTCCATCACACTCGCGCTCACTCCATCACACTCGCGCTCACTCCATCACACTCGCGCTCACTCCATCACACTCGCGCTCACTCCATCACACTCGCGCTCACTCCATCACACTCGCGCTCACTCCATCACACTCGCGCTCACTCCATCACACTCGCGCTCACTCCATCACACTCGCGCTCACTCCATCACACTCGCGCTCACTCCATCACACTCGCGCGCATTCACACACTCTCGCTCACTCCATCACACACTCTCGCTCATTCACACACACTCGCTCATTCACACACACTCGCTCATTCACACACACTCGCTCATTCACACACACTCGCTCATTCACACACACTCGCTCATTCACACACACTCGCTCATTCACACACACTCGCTCATTCACACACACTCGCTCATTCACACACACTCGCTCATTCACACACACTCGCTCATTCACACACTCGCTCATTCACACACTCGCTCATTCACACACTCGCTCATTCACACACTCGCTCATTCACACACTCGCTCATTCACACACTCGCTCATTCACACACTCGCTCATTCACACACTCGCTCATTCACACACTCGCTCACTCCATCACACTCGCTCACTCCATCACACTCGCTCATTCACACACTCGCTCATTCACACACTCGCTCATTCACACACTCGCTCATTCACACACTCGCTCATTCACACACTCGCTCATTCACACACTCGCTCATTCACACACTCGCTCATTCACACACTCGCTCACTCCATCACACTCGCTCACTCCATCACACTCGCTCACTCCATCACACTCGCTCATTCACACACTCGCTCATTCACACACTCGCTCATTCACACACTCGCTCATTCACACACTCGCTCATTCACACACTCGCTCATTCACACACTCGCTCATTCACACACTCGCTCATTCACACACTCGCTCATTCACACACTCGCTCATTCACACACTCGCTCATTCACACACTCGCTCATTCACACACTCGCTCATTCACACACTCGCTCATTCACACACTCGCTCATTCACACACTCGCTCATTCACACACTCGCTCATTCACACACTCGCTCACTCCATCACACTCGCGCTCACTCCATCACACTCGCGCTCACTCCATCACACTCGCTCATTCACTCACACCGTGCTCACAGAAATTGACCGAGTAGAAGTCGGCACAGCAGCAGCAGCAGCAGCGAATCGAGAACCGCTGGGATTGAGCGCCCAGGGGTTATCGACGTGAACTCAAATACAAGGGTGACACTCTGACGACGAGAGCGGGACAGCAGGTTCCTTGACAACCCACAGGGAAGGCACCAGCGAGACGCAGGAGCATCGCCCCGGGGGAGGGGGGCTCGGACCCCCAACTCCTCCTCCCCCCCTCCCCCCCCCCGGGGGCTCGGACCCCCAACTCCTCCTCCCCCCGCCCCCAGGGGCTCGGACCCCCAACTCCTCCTCCCCCCCCCCCCCCCGGGGGCTCGGACCCCCAACTCCTCCTCCCCTCCCCCCGGGCTGGGACACCACCGACACGGAAATGGGACGGGGATATTTAACTCATTCACTCGACTCATTCACTCGACTCATTCACTCGACTCATTCACTCGACTCATTCACTCGACTCATTCACCCGACTCATTCACTCGACTCATTCACTCGACTCATTCACTCGACTCCTTCACTCGACTCCTTCACTTGACTCCTTCACTTTACAAAACAAGCAACTCCCTCCCTCTCCGCCTCTCCCTCCCTCTCCCCTCCCAACCTCTCCCTCTCTCCCTCTCTCCCTCTCTCTCGCACTCCCGTAGTAGCATCTGGCGCAGGATTCTGAACTCTGATCTGTGTGGGAGGGGGTGGTAGGTGGGGAGAGGGAGATGCGGAGAGAAAAGGTTTGGAGGTTGAGATAGGTGAGGGGGAAGGTGGGAGGGAGGGGGGAAGGAGGAAATCTTTGAAAATAACAGCTGATCGAGAATGACCTCCAAGCGAAAAGCATGCCCTCTATTTGTACCGCGTGTGTCTGCGCGTGTATGTCTGTGCGCGTGTATGTCTGTGTGCGCGCGCGTATGTCTGCCTGTATGTCTTTGCGCGTGTATGTATACACGCAATTGAGAGCGGTAGTGTAGCGGTTAGCGCTACGCTGCGCTACGAACCTGGCCACCCGAGTTCGATTCCCGCTCACGGCCAACACCAGTGACGATTATCTGAACCGGTTCTGGGCCTCCTCTAGGTGGACTTCAGCCTCAAATGAGTACCTGGCGCGGTGTGTAAACATCGCCCCTGGGGAGACAAAATGCGGCCTAGCGAAGTCCTGGCAACCCACCCCCTCGTGTGCCGTGCCGGCCTTCATAGGCGCTCGCTAACAGCACTTGCCCCTACAGTCTGTTAAGGCTATAGGGGGGATCTTTGTCTTTTGGAGAGGCTTGCGGAAACATTGTGTGGTTTCAGGCCAGAGCGGTCCTGCACAGATGCCATTTTCTCCGTCTGTCTGCTGCAGCAGAGGTGTTGGGGATTACAACAGGACCTACATCTCAGCATCATTGACCTGGTCAAGGCCAATAATAGCATCAATAGGCCAGGAGACTGGGTTCTTCCTCGTGCTTTCGGGGTCCCTGACCCACTGCTCGCAATCATTAAGGACCGTCATGATGGTGAGCAGGCCCGGGTAAGGCTGTGTAGCCCGGAGTTAGAACCGTCCCCTGTTCACTTTACGATGCGACAGGGATGGCCTCTTGATCCTGCATTATGTAACATATTTGTCCACGTAGTTCCAGACGCTTTCCATGGCTGTACCATTGAAATAGCATACATCTGGTACAGATACAATGGGAGACTTATCGATGGCCGAGTGCTGTCGAGGGATGGCTCTCTATTGGTCAACCATGCTGCTCACACTGAGAAGGAGTTGGAGGCATTACTGCAGAACCTGGAGCGCACTACTAAGAGGTGTGGGGCCTTACCATCATTTTACGTGATCAAATACTCCCACCACCCCCCCCCCCTTTCACTCCCCATGAGTGGTGGGGCAGTTACTGAGAGAGTCGAGAAGTTTCTGTACCTGGGCAGTGTGCTTATGACCAGCAGCGGTTTTTGGCAGTGGAGGTCTCACTCCGTATCAGCCAAGCGGCATCATCTTCGCCAGATGCTGAACGCTGCCGTTTTGCAAGCGACCCGGCCTGTGGCTCCACACGAAGCTCCGAGTCTTCTCAGCCACAATCATGCCAGCGGCGGATGAAGCGTGTGCGGGCCTGTAACATATAATGCCACAAAGGGGCCCTAACAAATTTTAACGTAAATATTAAAACACATACATTTTTTTTACCTGCATGGTAAAGTAGTTGTATTTTTTTTTCATTTGCTATACAGCCAGAAAATACGACAAACCGCTAACCTTAAACATCCGGTCGTTCGTAAATGTTGAAGGCAGTATAGTACTATAGTAATAGAGCTAGTGCAGAATCACTGAACCGAAATTGATACCTTGAAAGCCGGTTAAAGCCCCCCCTCTATCCAGCCCCCCCCCCTCTATCCAGGCCCCCTCTATAGCCCCCCCCCTCTATCCGAGCCTCTGGAAACATGCGCTGGCCTGCTGACGGCACCCGCCATTGAGTGGCGAGCGGTGACGTCAGTTGTCGTTGGTGTGAGTGAGGGGTGCGTGAGTGTGGTGAGTGTGTGGTGAGTGTGGTGCGTGAGTGTGGTGCGTGAGAGTGTGGCCAGTGTGTGGTGAGTGAGTGAATGTGGTGAGTGTGTGGTGAGTGTGGTGCGTGAGAGTGTGGCGAGTTTGTGGTGAGTGAGAGTGTGGCGAGTTTGTGGTGAGTTAGTGAGTGTGTGGTGAGTGAGTGTGTGGTGAGTTTGGTGAGTGAGTGTGTGGTGCGTGTGGTGAATGTGTGGTGAGTGAGTGAGTATGTGGAGAGTGTGACGAGTGAGTGTGTGGTGAGTGAGTGTGTGGTGAGTGAGTGTGTGGTGAGTGAGTGAGTGAGTGGTGAGTGAGTGTGTGGTGAGTGAGAGTGTGGTGAGTGAGTGTGTGGTGAGTGTTTGGTGGGGAGCGGTGGCGCAGTGGTTAGCGGTGCAGCACGACGAACCCGGCGACCTGGTGCGATGCGTCAAACATCGCCGCTGGGGAGACAAAAGCGGTCGGGGGTGGTGCTGGCCACCCACCTCCCCCCCCCCGTGTGCCGTACCGCCCTTCACAGGTGCGACTCGCTAGCAGCACTTGCCCCAAAAGTCTGTGAAGGCTATACGGGGTACCTTTGTCATTTGTGTGTCAAGTGTATGGTGAGTCGGTCGGTCGGTGTAC